GAATTGCGCTCTATTTAAACGTTAATATTAAGAGCTAAAACTTTCAGAGAATTTTTTTTATCAATTTGGAACCATTTGAGACCCTCGGAGCAAGGAAATTTGAAAATGACCATTTTAAGGACCACCCTAATATATATATATATATATATATATATATATATAAATAAATATATGATAAACAGAGTAATTTATATTTTAGCACCAACCTGGTAAAAGTATACATCTTTTCTGTCAACTCCGTCTGTGGCAAAACTTTCTAGAACGCCTGAAGGAGATATGCCGTGTTCTAAACATAATCGTTTCCAGAACTCAAAACCAACTAAAATAATAAAGTATTTATTAATAAAATAAATCTAGATAAATTAGTATAGAATAGAACTTTATTAAAACTCAATAAGATCATAATGGAAATTGTATTGTAGAAAAACTCATTAACACGAGATCATAGCTTAGATTTGTAATCAAGAAGTTGTAACTTTTACAAAAGTTTTGTTATAACTTTACTTATGACATGAATAGTTATAATAAATTATATTACTAGACCATAATTGAAATTGTAGTAATCAACATTAACAAAGGATCAAGGCTTAGATTTGTAATCATTACATGATCCTTTGTTAATGTTTTTCCTATGATTAATACAGTTTCAATTATGGTCTTCTAATAATATAATCTTATTATATACAAAAACGTTATTTAAAGTGGTGCAAGTGTTACTAGAAACTCAAAATATCAACTTTTTTGAAATCTTAATATGAAAATGCACTTTTTGGCATATTTTTCTCAAACACGGTGCTCTGAAAGATCTCATCTGTATAATTATATACTCATTGGTATTTATAAAACATTTTCTAGGTTATATTATTTTTAATTTATGTTATTTAAATTTAGAGCCAAAATTTGGTATCGATCAAAGGAACATTTTGCCGAATAACATTTTTCCAGTTATAATTTCCCAGAATTTATCGAAGATTAGATAGTAATATATGATAATGGTAATATCCGGTGTTAAAAAGGTCCACCATTGATGTGTCAAAAACCAGTGAAGTTGAGCATTGTTTAACAACAATATTTGAAAGTAGAGGGAAAGAGATGTATAACCAGCTATAACCTTGATTCTTATGCTTTGCTATCGGGAGATAAACGATAATCTTTGAAAATCCATAATAAAAGTATTTTCTTCCGTTGGTAGTTTTTTAGCATTAGCTAAAAATGTAATTATTTTGTAAAATACCTTTAAAATTAAAATAAGACATTAAAACGGTTTGCCACCTGGCCGTTCCAAGTTATTACACCTTTAAGGTAAAAAGGTCTAGATAACAAATTTTTGAAAGACAGCAAAAAAGCACATTTCTATAATGATAAAATAGCTGGCAGTTTTACTGAACGTAGTCAGATAATTGGCTTTATTTTTATCATATAATTAATATTTGCTCAAAGTCAAATTGGACATTTGTGCCCCACCCTGCTCTACATATATACTTTTTATTAAATTTACTTTCATTCATCGAATGTTACTTGAAACTTTTCAAAAAGCAGGTCAAAGAAAAAATACTTCAATTCATTCAAATTTTGTATAAACTCAGTAGTATTATTTACAATTATACACAAAATCCAGAATCCAAAAAGAATCAGGAAAACTTGAAACGTAATCAATAAGTGTATTGACAAAATATAGACAAACTAATGGGGTTTATTGTTTTTATAATAACTCAGAGCTTTCAAACAATACATCCTTATACACTTAAAGTATTAATATTTTTGATTCTCTAGAAATTGTTTATAATATACGTTACTTAGCAAAACAACGCTTGCTGGGTCAGCTAGTTTATTATAAATATTATAAATATTTGTGCCGTGAGTGAAATTATTACAAAACTTTTGTAAAAGTTACAACTTCTCGATTACAAATCTAAGCTATGATACTTTGTTAATGGTTTTTTCTTTGATTAATACAATTTCAATTATGGTCTTATAATTATAATGAATTATATTATTTGAAGACCATTATTGAAATTGTATTAATCATACAAAAACCATTAACAAAGGAGCTTAGATTTGTAATCAAGAAGTTGTAACTTTTACAAAAGTTTTGTAATAATTTCACTTATGGCACGAATATTTATAATAAATTATATTATTAGAGAGAATCATAATTGAAATTGTATTAATAATAAGAAAAACCATTAACAAAGAATCATAGCTTAGATATGTAATCATTACAAATCTAAGCTTTGATTCTTTACACAATTACAAATCTAAGCTATGATCCTTTGTTAAAGGTTTTTCTATGATTAATGCAATAACAATTATCGTCTAATATTATAATACATTATAAATATTCATGCCATAAGTGAAATTATTACAAAACTTTTGTAAAAGTTACTACTTCTCGACTACAAATCTGAGCTATCATCCTTTTTAATTGGTTTTTCTATGATTAATACAATAACAATTATGGTGTAATATTATAATACATTATAAATATTCGTGCTATACGTGAAATTATTACAAATTTTTTGTAAAAGTTACAACTTCTCAATTACAAATCTAAGATATAATCCTTTTTAATAGGTTTTTCCTATGTATAATACAAATTCAATTGTGGTCTTATAATTATAATGAATTATATTATTAGAAGACCATAATTGCAATTGTATTAATAATAGGAAGAACCATTAACAAAGGACCATAGCGTAGATTTGTAATCGAGAAGTTGTAACTTTTAGAAGAGTTTTGTAATACTTATAAGACTCAAGTGGTTATTGTTATAAACTTGTGGGGAAAGTAAATATATTATTATAAAAGATATAAAAAGCACAAAAATTGTCAAAAACTTGATGATAAATAGATCAAATTATAATATATTCCTTTCAACGATTCTGTTACTATTACCATTGTTTATTTGTAAACAAATTGATTGATTTATTGTTTATTAGTAAACAAATGGTAATTTGACAGATTTTGGTTATGATTTTAAAGAATCTTTAAACAAGCCTCAAGCAACATAAAATACATAATTTTACATAGAATTCCATGAATAAATCACATAATTCTTAGAACAACCACAAAACATTCAGGTATTTATCATTTATCACATTTATCATAAATCAATTAGCCTCTGACATCTGATACAAAATCACACAAATGCACAAACATATATAATTATTTGAAAATTATAATTTATACTTTGGTTTCCGCACTGCCCCAACTGCAAAGTTATCATTTCACTCGGCATCTTGCTTTATTTATTTATATTTTATTAACAATTAAAGATAACTTATGCAAAAACAACGACCGTTCATGTTGTTTTGACAGCTTGTGTTTCTTGAGCAGGTTAGCCAACCGTACAAAGATTTCTGAACATAATTTGAATTCTTTTTGAATTTATGTTATGTATTTAGTAATTTAAATTAATTTAAAAATTAATTAGTTAACTAAATAATAATAAAAACAAATAAACAACAAATTTTGAAATTATTGAAGTATAAAAATTTGGCGCAAAAATTTTGTGCAGCCAACATAAAAGTTACAGCTGAAGTTATCGTTGAAATTCAAATTTAAAATATAGAATAAAATGTAATTTAAAAAAAAGTAGTTTAAAATGTTATCTTTCTTAAGATAAACTTCCCAATATCTCTTAATTATATCTTATGATCATATGCATTTGAACTTAGAACATACAATACATTTTTATAACTACATGTAGTCCAAATTTAAATGCATTTCCTAGGCCTATAATATTTGTTGAGACTATGATCCCTATTCAAACAAACTATATTCAAAGTTCGTTAAAATCGTCAAAACAAATCGTTTAAACATTGTTTATTTGTTTAAATGAGTTGTTTTAAAGGAGTAAATACACTTTAAGACTCTAGGGTGTATAAACAAAGATTTATTAAATGTAGATTACACTTTCTAAAATCAGAAACATATCTAGGATAGAGTCCATAGATTAGAGAGGCATAAGAAGAGTGAGAAGTAGAAAAGAAGAGTCTCATAATATTTCTTCTGGTATCTTCGTGTCTTTATGATACTCTTTGTCCAGGATAGTCCATATTTAAATGAAGAGTAAGAGGATTGAGAAGTAAAAAACAAGAGTTATCTTTCTTCGGGTATCTTCTTATCTTTATGATCTCTTTGTCCAGGATAGAGTTCATATTTTAAAGAAGAGTAAGAGAAAAAAACAAGAGTAGAAAACAAGAGTTTCTTTATCTTTCTTCGGGTATCTGCTCGTCTTTATGATACTCTTCATCTAAGATAGAGTCCATAAATAAAAGAAGAGTAAGAGGAGTAAAAAGTAGAGAACAAGAGCTTCTTATTCTTCTTCGGGTATCTTCTTGTCTTAGTCCAGGATAGAGGTTATATTTAGAAGAATAGTAAAAGGAGTAGGAAGTAGAAAACAAGAATTTCTTTGTTGTCGGGCATCTCCATGTCTCTATGATACTCTTTGTCCAGGAATATAGAGTCCTAAATGTCCTAGTGATGTCCATACCAATAGAATATGGTATATGGAAGTGTAAAAATGGCATAACACAATAATTACGAAGAACTCCCAATCTTCACAAAGTGACAAACTTCTTCTACGAAATAAAATAAATACATGTTGAATATGACCAAATTACTTAAAAAAAATATTTTATTATTAATATTTCATGGCATCAACTAGTGCCATGCTCAGTTAAAAAAAATCTAATTAATCCTCTACAATTAATTATTATGTATAATACAACACACAATGGAAAATACATATTGCAAATGGGTCCGAATGTTAATTTGTGTTCATTTGATTAAAATCTTTCCTATTTACTTACCAGAGTCTCTACATAATGCTTTTTTATTTCCTTTCTGTAAAATTATATATCAATTCTTGCTCTCGTTTCATGAACGAAAAATATCCATTATCTAATAACTTATTTTATTTATTTAGTTTAAATATTTTTTTTTCCTTTAGGTAATTAATAATTGCAAATTATTTCTACTAAATCACTAATATTTGTATTCAAAAAAAAATACACAAAATACATTTATATTGTTCCACAATTAGTTAAAGCATTTCTATATTGTCTAAAGACACATTTCATTTCCAACACTAATATATACACAGTTATTAATAAAAATAATGTTTCTTTATAATAATTAACCTCTTGTATCAATTTCCATCTTGCAGTTTCAGTGCTGTGACACACTTTGATATATATGGCATCGTATTAGCCTTTGATTGCACCCCCATTCTAAATAACGTTTGCAAAATCAGCAAACTATGCTCTTGTAAACATATTATATAATCCTGAATTCTTTCCAAGCTGCTGGTTCTAATATCAGGATCACTAGACTTCAAACTTGTCATTAAAGATGTAAAGCATATATTTGTGCAAGGTAAACTCTGCGGTGAATATTTTAGATGTCTCAACAACAAGGTGTGGCTTAAGTTACGTACATTTTGGCTTGTAGAATTTATTAATGCACAAATAGGTTCTATTATTTTGATTAATAATTCAGGTTTTTTGTTTGTTATGTGATCTAGTTCTTGCAAAGCTGCTATGACTTCATCAACTTGCACTTTTGATAAAGAGTTTGCTAAAGTGTTGAATTGTATCGGGCAAGGTTCTGCTTGTACAGGTAGAATGTTCATGGTGACCATTCCCATCTCCAAACACATTTCTTCGATGTTGTTTTTATGTGCTTTGTGCTGGTGTAAAAGGCTGACACCGTTTGCAATGTTCTTTAATTTTGTAAGTGTGGTAAAGTTATGTGTAAATCTTGTAGAGTACTGGAATGTGTTTTTATATAACCCAAAGCACGTTTTGGACAATAGTTTATATAATTTTGTAACAAATTAAAGAATCTAACAGCTAAGTTTGTTAAATCTTTGATAAAACTTATGTGTCTTCTAAACAAGTTGATGTACAATGAAATTATGATTTCTAGATCTTTTTGATGCTCTTTTCTAAACAACATTGGTGTCAACAACTCCAAAATACCTATAATGTGATTAAACAAAGCTAAATGATACCTGCTTCTAAATTGTGCAAACTCCAAATGTATCCTGCCTTGCAACGAGCTAGCAATCATCGACAGGTGTCTCAAAAAATATTTGGATGCACTGCTGATACTTTTCTTGCCAGCATATCTAAGTCCTGAGACTTTCGATGCCAATCTTTGAGTAAAGGGGTTGATGATAAAGCTGTGAATATAGATTGGCACATTGTATCAATTTTACAACTCGTTACAGAATGTTTAACATCAGTATTGTTTACCACAAAGTTCAAACCAGGTTGGTACAAAACAATAACAGGCATTATCATGTACAATTGGATCAGAAATTGTGCAACAACCTCTACGTCTTTCAATTTCTATGTCTTTACGTATCAGCTGCATGTACAAATACTGCACAACAACTTTGACAATATGCTGATCGTTCCTCATACAATGCAAAAGCAAAGGCAGCCTCAAATCAATTCTTTTGATCACATCATCTTTGGTGCCTGTTTTGTAAAAACACAAAGCTTCAAGCAAAGCGTAATCCAGGACTGTCAGAATTTTGTGTATTGACAATTCCAAAACATCTTCTGTAGGATTACGTTTGGAAATAACTTTGTCACGGCCTTGCCAAAGTTTTGGGTTCGATATTAAAGTCATTAGGAAGTCTAAAACTGCTGAAGAATCGTAATCTAAATACGTTTTTGATAGTAGGAAATTCACGCAGTGTGCTAACGTGGACCAATTGGCCTGGTGCGTTAGTAAAGTAAGTAAATACGGTCTGAAGCCCTTTTTATCAGCTTTGCTGCTAAACAACAAGTCCATTTGCACTTTGGAATTGGAATTAACCATGTTAGGTTCGATTGCAGCAACCCAATCGATCAACATGCCGTTCTTTTGACTGCGTTCAATCTGCGTTTTGAAGTCACTTTGGGAATCCAGGTCACTATCATCTTCCAATAACCAGGAACAAATACAATCAACGATTTGTGAATCTTGTACGTCATTGTTAGCCTTATTTAAAACTAAATCTTTGATGTAAGACTCCAAATTTTCGATAGGGGTTGTTTTTAAATTTGTTATTGTGTTGATACCACTTTTCGGCGCATCATTTTGCAAAATGGTGTTTCTTAACAACCGGTACAACACTTCGCTGGTGTCAAACATCACGTTCGTTTTAATAATGGCTTTATGAAAAATACAGAATAACAAGTCTTTAACGAACTCCGAGCTGTTGGATAGTAATAAATGAAACAACGATAACAACAACGGAGATTTTACAACAAACAAACTCAGCAGTCTGTCATCATCCAAGTCTTTTATAAATTTCAAAACCTGAAACAAAACAGAATTGGACCTCAAAGTCTTTTCCTTCTGTTCCACGGCTATTTTCCTCAAAATCCAACTGGTGTATTCTGTAGAACTATTTGGTTGTTCAAACAACATTTCATTGAGAACAGAACGTAAAGATCTTTGTTGCATTTTTGGTTTGCAGAAGACAGGATTTTTGTGAATATAAGATGTAATGTCGATATCTTGAAGACGTTTTAATAAAATTATGGGATACTTCTCTTCTTTGATGTTGCAGACTCGAAGGAAGACTTTGCCATCAGCCACTCCTCTCATGTGTTGGACAGCTATGCACATGCCGATGAAGGGCTTACCGTTTTCCATAATCTGGAGAAGAATAAAATCACAAAAAATAAATATAAAGCTATTTTGCTTTAAAGCGAGCTGCATGAACTTCCTCGAATAATCAACTTATTCAATAAAAATTGAGATCAAGCTATTTAGGTAAAATAAAAAGTTGTGCGCTAAAACTTGGCTTTTCTGCTAATTACAAAGAAACGGCTCGGCAGATAATTACGCAAAACTGAGTTAACGTCAATCCTCATCGAATTACATCCAATTTTTGAAATCGGTCTAGCCGTTATTGAGAAACGGCCCGGCCAATCTTCGACAAATTCTTATTAGCACGATTATCAACTGATATCTTTCGTTTAAATTTTCAAAATCGTTGAAGAATTTTCGCAAAACATTGCAATTACCTTCTAATTATAAAGAAACGTCTTTACCGATCATCAAGCCAAACAAATCAACGTGAGTCCTGACTAAATTTCATCAAATTTTATGAAAGCGGTGCAAACCGCGTACAAAAGATCAAATTTTATCACACCCATTAATCAATATCGGAATTACTGAAAACATTGACAAAATACAAAAATAGACAGTAAATTTTCTGATGAAAAAAGGGCAGTTGATAAAAAAAACTCGGTCTTTAATAAAAAAAAAAACTCTTTTTTCTACCTGTCCAGCACAAGCTGCCTGTTCGCTAGCAGCCCAATTATCAAGCACCTTCAAACATTTGCCCATAGATTGCAACGAGTAACCAAATGATTGCATGAACATCAACAGTTGAACTGGTCTGATAGATCTAAGACTTGCATCAACCAATCTCTGGACAGGTGATTGAACCATCCTCAAAAGTATCCAATCGGGATAGAGAGAAGTCTCTTTTATTTCATTGGTTGTTGCATCATAGGTAAATCCTGAAAAATGTTTTACAAATATAAGAGGATGAAATTAATATATCATATGAGATTTATCTCCTACCTCTGGGTACTAGTTTAAGGTCTGCAGGAAACCAAGCATCAAGCAGCATCTCATTAAGACTCCTATCACCTCCATCGTACGTCAGCAGCAAAATCATGGCATGAACAACATTCAAAACCATAAAACACTCCTCACCTGTACTCCATTTAATCAAATACACGTCCTGCGCGTCCTGAGGAAACACATTAGTCTCATCTCCTCGTGGGATTTTTACCCTGTTCAAATAGCTACAGTACAAAGTGAGCAGAGAAGTTTTTGCTTCTTCATTTAGTTCTCTGTTGGTCATGATGGAATTCATTAGGATTACTCTTTCAACTACCAACTGGGCCAAGTCAAGGACCAGCTCTGACATTTCTTCTTCAGAGCAAGTTGTGGTGTGTTGAGCTAAGAAACGAAGATAATGGACAATGTTTTCAGGAATCATGTCGATTTGGCAGGCTGCTCTGAGGGCCGTTATTACCTGGAAGAAGATAACACAATGATAATAGCTGATACATATGAGTTATGTTTTATTTATTACCTGCGTCCGGATATGTTCAAAATGAGGCACCATTGGCAGTTGCTTAATCAGCCATCCACTTCCTCTTGTCTCTTCTGTGCTAACACAACTCAAGAGCATCTTGAGTCCTTTAACCGATTGCATCCTAGATGACTTTTGAGGAGAAGCAAGTCTTCTCAAGAAATAATCCAACACCTCACAAGCGGTCTGCGGTGAACACTCCGGATTGGTCACCAGTTCTTGTAAGTGATGAAGTAATTGAATATGTTTATCCTGGTTTCCTCCTGCAGGGCTCAACAAGAACTCACACAAGCACTGGACTGGTAATAAAGAAACACTTTCTGAGTTTTCAACCAACTCTGCAAGCCAGGGCATGCTTTGGGAGTTTCCTTGACGTTGGATGATGTCCATTAGAAAATCAGGTTCTCTGGACCGACAGAATAAGTGACCAAGGTTATGAGTTTTGTTTAAAAGTGCTAAGTTTTCCAGGACGTTTGATGTTGGTTTTCTTGGAGGACCTGTAGGGTCATAACGCATCAATTGGTTTACCAAAAGACTCGTTTCTTCCGTAATTTTCATTTGGGTAGTAGCAGCAGCTAAATGAGTTTCTAGTTCTATTATTTCCTGTTTTTCTAAGCGTTCTATCTCGCGTTCCTCAGGGAAGTTTTGGCCGCACAAAGATGTTGGCGGAGGATACACAAATTGGTTCGTGATACACATTTCCATTAAAGTCCTTAAAATAGGATATTGTTCCCAACAAACGACTCCTATAGACATTGGATTGTGAGCTGCTAAAATTAAAACAATACCCCAAGCTTTCCAATAAGGCACCGTCACAGCTAATGTGGGAGGTGAATAGCCGTAAGGCAAAGTTATGTTGTCTGGGTAATGATATTGTGTCAGTCTAAACAAGTTGTCTATTATTTCAACTTTATCAAAGTGCATTAAAGGTAAATAATCTTGCGTCAGGTCCCCTGAACGTTTAACCATCTGTTCACAGATTTCCAAAGCATCCATCGGAGGCATTGGACAAGATTTCTGTTGACCAATCTTACACAACCTCAACAAAGTGTTCTGGTGTACACGAACTTCACCAACCAACTTAAAAAACAAACCGCGTTCAGACTCCGGAGGCCAAGTATCAATTTTAACATAAGGCTCATAATTGTTTTCTAAAAACAACAATTTTCGTATGTGCCCTAAATATTCTGGTGTAGGCGGTTTATACAAACCAGGAACTACTTTCTCCATCCAACGTATTGCCTCGAATTGGATCCTTGACACTTGCAATTGATACGATTGCAAAACATTCAAGTCCTTTTTATCTCCACGAGAGCATGAACTGGAAGCTTCTTTTACTTGTGGTGAGATTCCTAGAAGCATGCAGAGACAGAATAAGTCTGAGATGGATGAGAGTACACGGTCACGAGCGTCGAAGTTTTCTACATTGGTGTTGAAAGCTCTGTCTTTGGAAACAAGAGTGAAACAAAATAGGTATAAGTTGACGTCGTATCTTAAAGCGCGGACGAGTTCTCGCAGGAATAATCTCAAAGCACGCAAACAGTCGTCACGATTTAATAAGTATTCTTTGTAGATTTCTGCTAAAGCAACAGGAGCTTTGTCTGGTTGCTCCTGGAACATCAAAACAACCATAGAGATGTTGTTCGGGTTTCTAGCGTTCGAAAACTCGTTGAATATTGTATGCTTCATTAACAAATTCATTATTTCAACATTTTCTTTAACAATAGCTTTCAAACAACTAAGATAACTGTTGCACAACGGTTTTGTTTTAAGTCTAATCTTGACATACTGTATGACAACTTCTATATCTTTCTGTGTCTTTGTTCCAAAATTATAGCATAAATAAGCCAACAACTCCTGAGCTGGCTTCATCAATTTAGCATTGTGCAACCAAACTTCCAACCTGGACACTGCTAGTAATCTGATCTCAACCAAACCACAAGCAGCTGACATCAACTTCAATGTGTTCTTGGTAACAAAATCAGTTGGAGACGTCCTTTTATTTATAGAATCTTTAAGCATCTCAACCATGTATGCCTCGATACCATCACAATTGGCGTATCTTTTCATGATCCTTGCCTCTATGTCTTGAGTTTGTTTCAAAGGCATCG